GCGTTTCCATTGGCCCTACCAAATCCGAATGGATTATCTCGAGGAGCTCTTTTGTGCTGGACTTGCTATGCTGAAAAGGTTTCCTTGATTGTTTACCTTGTGCACACACTGTGCAATTTGCATCAATTGTTTTATCATCAAATTTTAAGCCATCAACAGATTGCTTCATTTGTTTCAGACTCTTGAAGTTTATATGACCTAGTCTGCGATGCCAAGTTATTGCAGAATTTTCTAAATTTCTACACATGTAAGATGAACCTGATGTAAATTTATATACGCCATCTTTAGGTTTGCAATTTACATATGGAGTTCCTTGAGAGTCGTATACAGTGCAACCCCTGCTGTCAAATACGATTTTGTTGCCCGCTTCTACCATTCTGTAGACCGATAATAAATTTGCTGATAAGTCTGGTATGTGCAGTACATTGTTAACGTCAACTACTTCCGCATTTAGTCTAAGAGTCGTTTTACCAGCACATTTTACTTCCATTTTTGCATCATTTGCCGTAACAATGTCACTTATTGACGATGATTTGAAGTTAGTTAAAAGATTTGCATTGGGTGTCATATGAATTGATGCTCCGCTGTCAATGAACCATTCATTAGTTGAAGATTTGGCCGCTAGACACGAGAAAGCTCTCTTAGCTGAAAACTTTGGCTTTTCTTTCGACTTTGCAGTACAATCATTGGCTTTGTGATTTTTGCCACCACAGGAATAACATTTGATTCCTCTATTTGCATGCTTTTTAAATTGCTTAGGTTTGGTTTTTGATAAAAAGGCATTGTCTGTCACAGGAGAAGGCTTAACCTCTAAATCAAATAATTTTGTTTTAACTTCTTCGGATGACGGGTATGATTGCCTGCCCTCGAAACTCATTAAAAGTGGCATGAACTGCTCTGGTAAGCCGAGACAGTAAATACCAGCTAACCAACGATCGTCAACCTCCCATCCTGCGCTGTTTAATTTATGGTAAAGGGAAGTGATAGTTTCAATGTATGATTGCATGGATTGACAATTGTCGAACTTCACCGAAACAAACTTGATTAAAAGACTGACCGTCCGTAAAAATCCACTATCTTCGAATAGTTTCTTAAGTTTATCCCACATTTCTAGCGCGGTTCTACAAGATCGAATATGTGCGTACATGGACTTTTCCACCGATAGCACTAGTGTAGCTTTTGCCTCGCTAAGCTTGGCTTCGTCTTTCTCAAGAGAAGTTGAGGTATCTGTGTTCCTTAAAATGCATTTGGTAAGCCCTTTGGATTCTAACAAATTTTCCATGGCGAAAGACCAATCATGGTAATTCTCTGCTCCAGTAAGCTTTTCAATGGTGAAATCCCTCAGAATTCTCGCCATCGTGTAAAAAACAAATGATTTTCCTATATCGCAACAAAGCTGGAAATAACCTTTATGTTTTTTTTATTTTTATACCTATATCGCAACAAATGCTAGTAGACACTTAGTCTCACGATCAGGATGCTCCTTTTTTAGTAAAGCGAGGTGCCCATAACCTGATGGGATGATGAAATTAATAAAACACGTGCGAGTCCTTTGAGGTTGAAAAAGCAAGAGAGTTAATAAAAATGTTTATTCAAAGTCATCACTAGAGATGTGCAAAAAGATATGTATTAGAGATGTGACAGTATTGGTTAATCTATTACCAACAAACAGTTTTGGAAATATCGGTTTTTTGGGCTTTTGTAAAATTTATTTACCATCGTCTACGCGGTACTACGTTTGGCGTATACGAGGTATTACGCGCTGAGCGACGATATAGTTCAATAAGTCCGATTTTTAATTAAATAATCTTCATCTTAAAATATAAACAACATACCTACATATGTACTTATTTATAAACGTCATTTACAGGTCTATTCTGCGCTGGTAATAAAAAGTTTGTAACCGGTAATTAAAGTTCCTGTCAATTTTTAAACCCTTTTCGCATTCTGTGTACTCTTGTAACCGGTAAATTTTGTTACCATCTCATAAGCTGGTAACAAAGTATTGCCCCGTGAAATATGCAATGCCAGAATTTGCACACTTCTTCATAGCTGAATTGCTGAATATTTTAACTGCATTACCAACGTTCCTAGAATCGCGGTGACAAGAACTGGTTAAATTTTTGGTAATAAAATTGTATGGTTACAAAATCTTCGGTAACGTGCAGAATAGACATGTTATACAGCGTTTTCGCTGCATTTAAAATGCAACATTTAGCACTTTCGAACATATGTTTTCGAAGAGCGTTCATGCTACCGCATTTAGCAAATGTACATTTACGCGAGTTCGAAATAGTATGCTTTTGACAAACAGCCGTGTTCCAGTCGCTTATTCAGATCCGTATCTATTATGATAAATTCTCACGGAAAAGATAATGTGCAAAAACCCCTACTGAAAAAGAAAAAAAATAAATTCTAAACCGAAAATTCAATACAAACACTTGAATTGTTTTAACCATCACCGAACATTTGTTTGTGTATATATTCATTTGTCGGTGCCGTCAATTATAATTTCCACACTTAATTAGGAAACAAAACAAACAGAGCTGATCACAAACTAATCCAGATTTCTATCAGCATCATATCGATGTTGAATTTGCGTAACTTTTCTTTATCCAAATAATGTAAAATAATAAATGAAATCTCGATCGGCGATCACTGAAACCCAGCTAGCGACTGTATACTCGAAAAAGCAATGTTGCCACTTTTTTTCATTAAACCATGTTCGAATCGTGGAAATTTTGGAAGATCACAGGGTTGCTTTTAGCATTTAGATTCTTAATGCAAAAATGGAGTTGCATTTAGGTGACGAATTTTGTATGGATAAATGTGCATTTAGGGCCGTTTTCACCATCTCTGGTTAACACTAATCTCCAGCTAAACATCGTTACCGACGTTATTGACTACATGCATATGACATTGTGTCGATAACGTCGGTAACGATGTTTAACTGGGGATTAGGGTTAACCAGAGATGGTGAAAACGGCCCTTAGAGTAGCATTTAGGGCTAACTGCGATAAATGTGCTTTTACGCGTAAGCAAAAACAGCCCATTAGAGTCTGCATACATATGCATCTAATACGGGAATGCTGATTTTCTAAAATATTAATTTTCATATTACAGCCTTATGGGCTGTTTTTGCTTACGCGTAAATGTACATTTAGCGCATTTAGCTCTAAATGTACATTTATCCATACAAAATTCGTCACCTAAATGCAACTAAATGCAACTCAATCTTTGCATTTAGAATCTAAATGCTAAAAGCATCCCTGTGATCTTCCAAAATTTCCACGATTCGAACATGGTTTAATGAGAAAAAGTGGCAACATTGCTTTTTCGAGTATACAACCGCTAGCTGCGTTTCAGTGATCGCCGATCGAGATTTCATTTATTATTTTACATTATTTGGATAAAGAAAAGTTACGCAAATTCAACATCGATATGATGCTGATAGAAATCTGGATTAATTTGTGATCAACTCTGTTTGTTTTGTTTCCTAATTAGGTGTGGAAAATATAATTGGCAGCACCGACAAATGAATATATACACAAACAAATGTTCGGTTATGGTTAAAACAATTCAGGTTTTTGTATTGAATTTTCGGTTTAGAATTTATTTTTCCTTTTCAGTAGGGGTTTTTGCACATTATCTTTTCCGTGAGAATTTATCGTAATGGATACGGATCTGAATAAGCGACTGGAACACGGCTGTTTGTCAAAAGCATACGATTTCGAACTCGCGTAAATGTACATTTGCTAAATGCGATAGCATGAACGCTCTTCGAAAACATATGTTCGAAAGTGCTAAATGCTGCATTTTAAATGCAGCAAAAACGCTGCATTAGGGCCGGTTACTCAAAGTCTGGTTAACACTACTCTGCGGTTAAACATCGCTACCGACGTCTTCGACTCCATGCATATAACATCGAGTCGGTAATGTCGATAACGATGTTTAACGGCAGATTAGTGTTAACCAGGCATTGAGTAACCGGCCCTTAATAGGATTAACTTTTCAAAAATGCAAATAAAAATTGATTTTATTTGGTTTGTAAACGTACTATATAAAAGAATTTGTGATGACCGGAATTATTAATCTAACAGGTCTATTCTGCGCTGGTAATAAAAAGTTTGTAACCGGTAAATAAAGTTCCTGTTAATTTTTAAACCCTTTTCGCATTCTGTGTACTCTTGTAGCCGGTAAATTTTGTTACTATCTCGTAAGCTGGTAACAAAGTATTGCCCCGTGAAATATGCAATGCCAGAATTTGCACAATTCTTCATAGCTGAATTGCTGAATATTTTTACTGCATTACCAACGTTCCTAGAATCGCGGTGACAAGAACTGGTAACATTTTTTGGTAATAAAATTTTCCGGTTACAAAATCTCCGGTAACGTGCAGAATATACCTGTAATAAAAGATTGGTTATTTTTTCTTACATTTGGTAACTTTTTCGTCTAATTTAGGTTAGAAAGTTTTAGAGCGCCGGCAACACTGATTTCGGATACATCTTCGATTCTCCATTCGATTATTCCATTACCATGATTCAATAATACAAGGTTCGATAAACTGACAGTTGTCTCTCTCGCACCGCTCCCTTAGCATTGGCACCGTGTTGCTTCTTTGCAAATTTACATGGAAATAGTGTAGCTTTGGTGTGAAATAGAAGTATAAGCTTTTGTGCAATATGTTTATTTGTATATGCATATGAAACATATTTAACTGATGAAAACATAAACCGTTTTTAAATTGGATGTTTACATCAATCTCATAGTAGTCTTATTTTAATTTTGAGTCATTTTGCAGTTTTTATACAGCTAAATAGCACATAAATTCCGTAATACACGTAGATATATCAATATTACGTTCAACATTTCGTTTAAAATGCCAGATTTCCTGCAAATACATTAGAATTTACAAAAGGAATTTCCGTACTAAGTGCCTACTTTGTGTACTTTTCTACACCGGCCTTTGTAAATGCAACCTTTTGTGTCAAACCGCAGCTGTCAATAATTATCTAACCTTGTATTATTGAATCATGTTCCATTCCTAGTGTAAATGTGAGCTTTTGAAAATGGCTGCTGAAATAAAACCAGCCCAACGGAACGGCCATGAACGATTTAGTTCCATAAGGAAGTTAGAGTTGGTTAATAAATTGGAGGGAAGTTGTGATGATATTAATGCGGCAATTTTCATCCCTGGCGAGAATGGTGTGATAAGTGTATCCGATGACAAGTTAGTATATTATTTGAGAAAATTTTATTCTATATCTAATAAAATCTTTTTACAGAACCATACGCGTGTGGCTGAAGAGGGACTCTGGTCAATACTGGCCCAGCATATGTCAATATATGCCCTCAGGTTGTTCTTGCATCTGTTATAATGAAAATGCAAGGCAATTATATGTTGGCCAGGACAATGGCACAGTTACGCAGTACTTTTTTTCCGATGACTGCAACAGGCTCTCATTTGTTCGAGATTTTTTAGCACATCAAGGTCGAGTAATGGGAATTGTAGTTGCCAACACGCTTCAATGGGTGCTTTCATGTGGAAAGGACAAACTCTTCGCTTTTTATTCAACGGAAACTGGGAACCGATTGGGTAGTTTTAGCTTTGAGACACCTTGTACTTCATTACAGTAGGTCAGTAATGATATTATTAGGTCATATCATAGAGGTTGTATTGTTACAGATTTGATACTATGGCAAAATATGCTTTTGTGGGTGACAATAGCGGACTAATTACAATGTTAAGGTGTGACACGCCAAATGTTCAATTTGTCAACACATTCAAAGGACATACAAGTAAATTTAAAAGGATATCTCAAACTTTTTATTAACTTATTATTCTTGGACACAGCAAGCATTCGATGTTTAAAATGGGTCGAAGAACATCAGTTGCTTTTTAGCGGATCTTGTGATCAAACGGTTTTTGTTTGGGATGTTGGTGGTAAACGTGGCACTATCTATGAGTTGCAGGGGCACAAGTTAGAGATATGGTTTTTATATATATTCTTTATTTATATTTTTTAATATATCCTTTTTTAGTAATAAGGTTTCTTCGCTTGCTTATGCCAATAGCACCCAACAGCTGTTGAGTGGCGGAGAAGACTCTGTTGTTGTCTTGTGGAAGATGAACGCCATGCGAAAAGAAGTCCCTGGATGGGTGGATAATAGCAGTTGCCAGCTATGTCAACGTCCTTTTTTTTGGAATTTCCGTGCAATGGTGGACCAAAAACAAATTGGTAATTATTCCATTTCTTCCTGCAGGTAAAGTACTATTGACATTTGTACACAAGCGAAACAAAAAATAAATAAAATAAAAAAAGCTTAATATACCACGCTTTTATTAATGGATTAAAAATTAGAATATAATATATCTCAGTCCCATAAAATTTGTTTTGATAACTTTTGATTTTGAAATGTTAGCCAAAGTCATTATAATCAATTTATGAGATTGAAATCAAAAAACGTGGAGCGCATGCAATGCAAAGCATTAGATTTAATTGATAATAGTCAAACAGACCTAAAATTTATACAGAGAAAGTGCAAATTTTGAGATCGATTTTAAGCGGTCGTTATTCATATACCCACATACATACATACATATATTACTATTCATATCAATTCAGGTCTATTACATCCGCACCACGCTTTTCATTTTCAGCCTCATAAATTATTTATAATGACTTGCTAAAATTTCAAAATCGAACGTTATCAAAACAAATTCTATGGGACTAAGATATATTATTTTATAATTTTTATTCCATTTATGAAAGCGTGATATTTTAAAAAGTTTTATTTTATTTTATTTTTTTCTACTTTTTAGTCTTGTCTGTATAAAATTTTGCAATAGATATTGAAATAATTCAACTTGCAGTGGAAAGAGAACAGAAGACTATGCATGCAAAATGTTGTTTACTCACGTTTAGTATATACAACCATATGTACATACCAGGGTTGTTGCGAATATTCGCATTCGCATTCGCAACCGCTGAGCTTCCGCATTAATTTTAATATTCGTATTCGCTTTCGCATTCGCCATAATCAATGCGGATCTTTTGCGAATGCGAATATTGAAGGGATCGAAAATAACAGTTTTTTAACAGCTAAACTTGGCCAAATATTTTTTATTCCCAATTAAAAGACTTTTCCGGATAATAAGCAAACCTCTTATCCAAATTAAACAAGTTTGGTACCAAATGAAGGAAATGTCTAAACGAGCAAAGCCACCCATTGAAAAATATTTCAATAAAAAATGTTCATTAATTACCATAGATCAAACCTTGGGTCTGGTATATGAATTTCTTTAGTATTAAATGATAAAAAATACAAATAGAGGTGGTAACCTTCTTTCGTTATTTCTGCTTAAAAGCTATTTCAGTCACAGAACAAAGGATTAAAAATGAATTACAAGAACAAAATCGAAAAACGCTGTTGACTTTACAGGTTCTCCAAATTCAGAAACAACCAAAAGAATGATAATGAAGAATTCCTTGGAAATCAACGGTGTTTAAACAACGATCTTGCCATAATGCAAGATTGTGAAAATGGAAGTCAGGAGGATATATCCGACATTTGCAGCCCAATGCAATTCTCAAAAAAGAATTATTGCACCGCAATAAAAAAATAAATATAACTGAAAGACCTCTCAACTGGTGCAGCGTCAATCGAAAAGAATTTACAATTTTGTCAAGTTTAAAGTTTTTCCAGTTTGTCGCCTCGAGCGAGTAGTTATTTAGTGGCGCAGGTTTGATTTACGACCCTTAAAAACTTTTTATTGAATACAATGTTCCAATTTTTAAATTCAAATACTAAAAAAAACATTATTAAAAATTACTAACCTTTCCATTTTTATTTAAATAAATCACCTAATTTACTCACCTAAATTATTTCTTAACAAGTAAAAAATTCAAAGTTCGGGCGGAGCCGAACATTAAATACCCGGCGCAAGTATTCAATAGAGTTTTTTCACCTCTCCGAAGACTACCGCTACATGGTAAGCAGTGGTGGTTTTACGTCTATTTCAAACATCTTCGGTAGAACGTTCAGTTGATGTAATGAGATAAACTTATATAGATATATGTGGTCGGCACCACGCCTGATTTCCAAAATTCCATAATAATGTTACTTCTTTTCAAGGGATTGTTGTTAGTATAAATTTTTGGTAAAGTTAGCTTCCTTAAATTTCGAAATATCAAAGCTTCAAACATTTCTGAAATTTACCGTTATAAAAAAGTGGGCGTAATTTTAGTCAGCTTTCAAAACTTTCAACGTTTTGCTTGTATGTGGTAACCACAATAATCATACCGAGTTTGGTAGACATTGATAGAGCGGTGGTTATAAGTGGGCGGGGTCACACCCATTTTCCAATCTTTTATTATAAGCCAATTTTTTTCTTAATAATTATTGCAAAAATTAATTTTGAATAAATTAGCTTCAGTATTTACTGATTTATAGAAGCTTTGGTATTTCTCTAAATATCGTTATATGGGATGTGGGCGTGGTTATTATCAGATTTTCTAAATTTTATGCCGTTTGGTGTGTTTTGTGAAGGCCAACAATTGTGCCAAGTTTGGGAGAAATTGGTGGAGCGGTTCCCAAGATATACACATGTAATCATAAGTGGGAGTGGCCCATTTTCCAAAAATTTATAATCTTATTTTTCGCCTAAAAATGATTTTAAATACTAATTTTGAGTGAATAAGCTTCAGTAGTTAATAAAATATCGCAGTTTTCGCATTTCTCAAAACTGCCGTCTTATGGGAGGTGGGCGTGGTTATCGTCTGATTTTGCCCATTTTCAGTACTATCCGTCCACCGCTCAAAAGAAGTACACATGCCCAGTTTCGTTAAGATATCTCAATTTGTACTCGAGTTATCGTGTGCACAGACGGACGGACGGGCGGACGGACAGACGGTAACCGCTTAATCGATTTCTCTTTTCATTCTGATCATTTATGTATATATTTGTCTATATCTTTCTCGACTCGTTTTGCCTGTTACAAACAACCGTTATGTGAACAAATTTATAAAACCCTTGTGCACAAGTGCGCTCGGGTATAAAAATACTTGACATCCGCATTCGCATCCGCATCCGCGGATGTTAGCGTTTAAACATCCGCATCCGCATTCGCATCCGCGGATGTCTAAAATTCCACATTCGCAACATCCCTGATACATACACACATATAGCAGCATTTAATTTCTTTTAATGAAATGGCGTTTCGTCCATTTCTGCTGTAGCATATGTAGTGCATATTTTAGTATATATTATTTATTTATATGTTACAGTCTTACGACTTAATAATACAACTATGATATTCGTACATATGTATATGAATTGTAATGATCTTATTGCAAAAATTATCAGTTAAATATAGAATTATGTATACAAACCCTATATATATTATATTACATATGTCTATATTAGGCCGCATTATCAATTAAATATAAAATTATGTATACAATAACTATATATATTATATTACATATGTTATATTAGGCCGCATGAATAAAAATATGCAATTGCCCCCTCCAAAAAGCTCCCACCTTCCACTTCAATTTATTTGAATAATCGAGTACAAGGCCGGAAATTCCCAAAAAACGCAACTGCAGTTCCCAATCATACGGCAGAGCAGGCAAATTAGGCAAGTAGTCTGAACAGGCAAGTTCCAGGCCATATTGTTAGGGCAGTTGGAAAGGACTAGTTTCCAATCTGCACCTTCCCTTCTCATATATTGCCACAATTGTTAGGGCAGTTGGAAAGCACTAGTTTCCAATCTGCACCTTCCCTTCTATATTACTGCTTCAGTTGTTAGGGCAGTTGGAAAGGACTAGTTTCCAACCTGCACCTTCACTTCTCACATTGTTTCTTCAGTTGTTAGGGCAGTTACAAAGCACTAGTTTCCAATCTGTATCTTTCTTCTCACATTGCTGCTTCAGTTAGGGCAGTTGGAAAGTACTAGTTCCCAATCTGCACCTTTACTTCTCATATTGTAGCTTCAGTTGTTTGGGCAGTTGGAAAGGACTAGTTTCCAATCTGCACCCTCACTTCTCATATTGTTGGTTCGGTTCGGTCAGGATTTACGATGTTATACACGCTATCTGAATGGACTAGATCCAGAGCAGCACTGTTTGGTAGGAGGACGGTGCTTCGGGGATTGGTCTTTCGACTCTGTCAAGATTTGCAGATTCAGCAAGCTGTCTGAGTGGATTGGATCCAGAACAACCCGGCCGGATGGAAAGGATTTATTTCCATGCTGAGTCTCTATCTGATAGGTAGTGTTCGACAGTGATCAAGTAATGATCTCTGGAAGCTGGCAATGCTTTCACAATTTCTTGTTTGTGGCGGTAGTTCGTTAAAACACTTTAATCCTTTGTAGAATATGTTCATTTTATCCACTTCTGTCCTATATAACGGCAATCTAAAGCTGTTATTTTCCCTGAGTATGTATGAATGAGTGTCATTTATATATCTGAGATTGTCGCTCAGGTAGTCCGGCAACCGACAATTCTTTATATTGAATACGAATTTCATGGCGTGATAAAAAATTTGCTGCTTAACACTCAGCCAGTTCATATCGGCGAGCATCTCTCGTGTGGATGCATCGTGGCGCTTATTCAGTATAAATCGCATTGCTCTATTTTGCATTTTTTGTAACTTGTCGATTTATTTATTTATTTAAGTCTATGGTTTTACCGAACCTTACAGACTAGATAACATTTAACTTAAGACTAATTATAATTTGACCTCAAGGCCAACTTAAAAGAACAGCGACTGGAGAACACATCAACATCTCTACTTCTATTCATTAAAGCATTTAGTTCACCTAACATCCTAGAAATAGGCTCATTTTGCGAGTACTTAGTTTTATAAAATTCTATTGGGAAGATTTCAAAATACCTTAAAGATCGAACAGGAACATTCAGTTTTATGACCTGTAGCAGCACAGGATAGTCAATACTACCATTAAGAATATCATGTACAAACATGAGCCCAGAAATAGTTCTTCTTCCAGCTAGAGTACTTAGAAAACTCTTTTGTACACGCTCTACTCTTTTTGAGTGAGTATCAAAATAAGGATTCCAAATGACAGACGCATACTCTAGTTTCGATCTCACGAAAGCATTGTATAAAATTCTCTTGGTATAGGGATCTTTAAATTCAGAGCTATTCCTCTTTATGAAAGCCAATGACGAGTATGCCTTGGGAATAATGTAGTTTAGGTGCTCGATGAACGTGAAGCCCGAGTCGAACACTACTCCAAGATCTTTTATTTTATTATAGGAGCTTATATCGGAGTCTGAAATATGATACGACGACTGCAGAGGT